TACTTAAAACAAAAAACTATTGCGAAAGTCAAAAAAAAGCTCCGGATTATCAATGTGGAGCTTTCGATGGTAGCTTAACATAACCGAGACAAATGTACATCATTTCATCCGCGGTCATTCAAATGATCATTTCCAATGAATATAAATAGCGATGCGTACAAAGCAATTGAAAAAAACGTGTATTTTGGGCACAGTCCATTTTCTGAGAACAAAATCTTAGTGTACATCTCAAATTTGTAAATTTTTTCCTATTTTTCTGAGACAAAACGAACGTCAGGATCGCCAACAAGCTGACCACAAGATGATGCAGCATTGGCCAAAACAAAGGAAAAAAAAAATTGCTAGCCATACAGCTGGCAATTTCTGGTACAACAGCATAAAATTTCTCCATCGTAATAACTCGAGGATACCGAAACAAGAAAAAACACTTTGAGATATCCCAAGGTCAGCGAGCAATTCTCGAAAATTTCGGTTTTATAAAAGCATGGCAAACAAACAAAAGCAAAATCTCGTCGATATCATTTTCACGTCTAAATTAATGTAAAAAAAAGCGCAAAAACCAACCAAACGAAAATGTAAAGAGATACTTTGCGATGAGTTCAATGATATAAGGTAACCAGGTTGAAAGCAGCCGGGAACGTGGAATATAATTACTCACTTGAACATACATTTCCAGCTGCAAAAAATTCAAACAATGATTTATAATTTATGCCAGTCAACCGCTGTACTGATGGGGTATAGTTGCAGTGTTGCGTTAAGACGTATATAGCTTAATGGACCAAAATATTTCAGTTTTGGTTTAATTTTTCTTACACATTATTAATATAATTTAAAGGTAAGGTAAAAAATATATTATTAATTTTTCATATTTTTCATATAATTTTCAGTCTTTAATATGTCCAATATAGTCCACTATTTCCTTATGATTACCCGCAGAATATCTTAGTATTTGACACCAATTAAATATTTATGTTTACTCGTAAAAAATAGAAATTTAAAACTTTTACAGTAAGCTCAAAAAATACTAAATGAGCTGAAAGTTACCTCTGCTAGTCTAATGAAGACGCATAATCCTAAACCTAAATCTAAGACAGTTCCTCGGAGTAGCCAAATTAGAAAAAAGCCTTGAAAATGAATTTGGGGATGCCATTTTAACGATTTTGCTGAGTTTGTACAAGCCAATCCCAGATATGCTAGGCGTTTCGATCCTCGGCCGCATACCTCCAGTTGGCACCCACCGCCTTGTCCGACGTACCTACTCTTCAAGGCTCACACAAGTGGTCGTTAACTTTCTCGCGGACAGCACTCATTTTCTTCGCAACAATCAACAATGATTCGAATGTTGTGCAACTCACTTCTTTAACATAACCAACATAGAGCATCACTGGAGCATTACGTTTGAGTGTTATCCTCATAAACGACATATTACCCAGAAGAGCCGGAAATGCACAGAAACTCACTGTACTGTTCGCAATTCGGCAATCTTCCGATGACTTACACAGCTTCATCCCTGCAAAACAAAAATTGTGGTGTAAAGAAGATATCTCCTCGTATTTGCTCTCCAGAGAAGCACTCGTATAAAACGAGGAAGTGCGTGTAATCCATAAAATCCAAAAAAAAAAATCAAAAATCCATAAAACTTAGCCAGAGAAAAAACATTATCAAAAAGCGTAGAATTCAATCCCACAGAAGTGCAAAAAATTTGTTGAAACCAATTTCACGTTATCCAAAACCACTAACTGTAAGTACACTGAGGCAGAAAACGATCCAAACTTCTACATTTACATTTATCGCAGCTATGCAGCCAGCACTACATCCTCATTTTGCTATAAATTACGCAATAAATTCAACAAGACTCAAAGAAAACTCTCCAACCCCAACGATACTGCTTGACTGTTTCAAAAACTTACTTTTAAAAACCCATGTTATTTCGTCCGGATCTCAAAGGACTTTTTTCTCAATCTTGAAAACCAATCTCCCACCCCTTCCACCACGTATTCACTCAATCTAAAAAACGGAGGCACTTGGAATCAGTAGCAAATCTACTCACGATTTCATTGAAATATATCTTAAAAGCAACAAATGTTTGCAAATTTCTCATATCAAAAGTTAACCCTGATAATGATAAATAATTCTAAACGTACCTACCACATACCTAGCTGCCAAACAAGCGCACATCTGTGCCGAAAAATATTCCAACAGCTCCCTATTTTCTTCGGTAGCAGCTAAATCTGAATGAATTAGCAAACTGCAGGTGAACAGTTAAAATCAAAATTTTTTTTTATTCGCTATCCTTCGACAGGCACTACGAAAATGATTCGTAGATTGAGCAGTTTGTGTTCGTTTTTCAAAAAATAATCATTATTGCACACCGTGAAGACTGTTCACTGCAGCAATGCATCAATGCCAAATAGACCAAATCAAAACCCCTCTCCATATAAAACAGAAAAGACGGAGACACTCAGAAGTAACCTAAGTGGTAGCAAGTGCCTACAGCAACCACACTCTGGTAAAACTGTCGAAAGCCCGTCCTTCTGACGAATGCTTAAAAACAGCTTGACAGCCTGGATTTGATTCCCTGAATGTCAGTTAGTACCAATTTACCGCTGAAACGAAAGGAATTTGTTGTTCCCGGTGGCGGAACCGAACCCTCGACATTCTGCACTACAGGAGCGC